GACCCCCGCCCTTGGCAGATGCTGATGCTGTCAGTGATGCCCTGACATCGCTCCACGGGGAACGCACAGAGGGAGCGATTCCCTGGAAGCCAACATAGAGGCTTCAGATCCCAGCCCCAGCAGGAAAGCCAGCAGCAAGGGACAGCATGGTTTTCGGGAGGAAAAAAATGTCTTTATTCGTCTGTACAGAAGAGGTGTAACACGGGAGCGGAGATGGCCTCCCGGGGGGCAGCGTTAGTACTTCCTGGGAAGGCCTGCAGGTCTATAGCGGTTGGGGTCACCGCCATTTCTGCCCCACGCGTTCGCCTCTTGGTCAGCCCGGGTGTCTTCTGCGCCTCTGCCGCTCACGTCGCTTTGCCATCTTTCCCGGGCGTCACTAGCAGGAAGAAAAAAAGGCCACCTGAACCAGCCAGCATTTAACTCTGCTTTGTGTTGACTTCCTCACTCGTGTAAAACCAGCCTTTCCACAGGACTTCTCAGAGTGAGAGGCAAGCACATATTCAGTCCTTGTCTGACAACAAGTGTTACATCAGGAAACAAACCAGCAAGTAAAAAGAGTTCCTTTCCAGGAAGATAATTCTGATAGGAAGAAATTCTTATAATTCTTTATAGGAAGGAATTCTTTAGTGTGAGGGTGGTGAGAGCCTGGCACATGTTGCCCAGAGAAGCTATGGATGTCCCATCCCTGGAAGTGTTCAAGGCCAGGGTGGATGGCACTTTGAGCAACCTGGTCCAGTGGCAGGTGTCCCTGCCCATGGCAGGGGGGTTGGAACTAGGTGATCTTTAAGGTCCCTTCCGACCTAAACCATTTGGTGGTTCTATCGCCAGAAATGCAGAGGTAAGGAATCTGCCTTCTTGGGAGGACAAGAGGAAAGACTTATGCTCATGTGGGAGGAGAGGCACCATTCCTATAGAGACAGGCTGTTCAGACATTAACTGCTTCCCCTCCACTGTTGTCCTAGGTCAAAAGCTGAGCACAAGTCAAAAAGGACTTCACTCTAACTGGAATGCCTGGATCCTTAGTAACTCACTGTTAACAAGCCAAATATGCTCCATTACCTGATCACTTTGGCTGCCCAAGCACCGCCAGGTCCTCTTTGGGCAGCATCATAATTCCCACGAGCATGGAAATATTTGTCGGCACCTTTATAATTTGCCTCACGCATGTCCTGGTATGCTCTGAACATATCCCATGCCCCTGAAGAAAGCAGAGAAACGGAGACGACGTTGACTTTAAAGAGTCATCCCAGAAACAGTTAAGTACCATTCCAGCCAGGAGCTGAGTAGCCTAAGGAGCAGTAACACACAGGGGCAGTGCTCCACATCGGCCTTTGCACAGTGGTGTGCCCACGGAAAGAGCCTGCAGGGGCCAATCAAAGCCCTCTTCCAGCAGCAGAAAACAGCAGGGTCCCTCACGTGGAGCTGCGGACTTCCCAGCTCCAAGGACTGCGTCCATTGACTGCTACTAACCTGTGCTCAGGGATGGGGTTCCTGAGAGAAAGGCCCATGGTAACAGCAGCTTACCTCCCATTGCATCCCAGACAAATCGTCCACTTTCACTTATTGGTAACATGTCAGCGCTTGCACATAGAAGAGAGAGCAACGTAAGGCAGACAAAGAGCCTCATGGTTCCTGGCTCAAGCCTGACACGGAGCTGCGAGACAATCAGAGAGATGAGTGGTTCTGGAGCACCTTTGAGAGACTGCTGACGTCGCATCCATCACACCCACAACTGTGCCCAGGCAGCTGCCCCAGCACTGATGGCTAGCCCAGGAACCTGCTTCTACCCCCACAAGGACTGATGCCCTCTGTGCAACCACAAGGACTCCGCAACAGAGGCAGAAGGACATGAGAAACTTGCATTTTAGCATTCCCTGCTGCTCCTGTCATGAATACAGAGAAGCCCAACCTGCTAGAGCATTAGTCCTGTTCCCAAATACCAGCTGAAAACACTGCATAATGCTCACAATTTCAGAATATCACTTACCACTGCAGAAAGGCAAAGCCAAAGGAGATGGAGCTGGTCTTGTACGCTCTCAGACTCAGAGAGGGTATTTATAAGCAATTCAAACCCCTCAAAAGAGGAAACTGGAAAGGATACCCATGGCTGGGAATTCCCCCCCGCTCCACTTCCAACACAGAAATCATTACGGTAAGCTTGTCCTTGTCCTTACGGAAAGTTCATAGCTCCTCTTACACAATTTTTTAGAAAGTATGTTGTACATCTTCAGCTGTCCATGGGACTATTTGCTCCTCATAACAAGCAGGGTGTTCTGTGTGCTGGCAATGTTACAGGGTGACACTTGTTTGGCTCTTGTGCTGGACAGAGCTTGGGGGAGATGGTGCCTGATTGTCTGTACTGTACCTTGTAGCACAAGGTTGGGTCTGTACCTGTGCACAAGGAATGGTCAGCTGCATTACCAGAATGGCTGCAGGAACTGCTAAGTGAAATTCCCACATGTGGTGGGATGACAGGATGGATCCCCAAGTTGATGGAATGGAAAACGTGAAGTGTTATTCTTAACTCCATTGCAAAGCAAACCACGTACACCTACGTCCCTGCTGATAATGCTTTAAGATAGCACACATGCACCACCACAAGGAAGGCCCGAATGGTTCATCCTGCCTTTGCTTGCTCTCACAGATCCTTGTTGAGGGACTTCCAGCTGTCCTCCTTCAACACCAGCTCAGTGGGGCTCAAGCAGGCTAAACTAAGGAGAGTTTTTGATGCAGCAGTAAACATTTTACCAAAGGGGAAGTTCAGATCCATACAGCCACAACTCGGCTAGATTTTAAGATTGATATATTAACTGTCAGGCCCTATTGCCGTGGTTCACAGTTTGAATACCCACTGTGCTCTCTGCTTTGGAGCTTGCTTGCTGCTTGCTTCCCTTGGTTAACAGCTGATACAACTGTTTCCCCTGCAGAGAGCTCTGGGTTTGAGTGCAGTTGCATTGTAGAATGACTGTGCAGAATCCCCCCGTTGTGTGGTCTCATACACAACTTAACACGTCTAAGAGAGCTTCTTTAAAAGCTCTGCAGAAGAGGTATGTGTAGTTGCCTCATTCACAACTCTTGTCACTTTAAATGATTAGCTGCTGGAGCTGAAGGGCAGAGGCATGAGGTAGAAGAGGTGCAATAACAAACTGAGCTAATGAAGTGTAGCAGCTAACTTCTTTGGGCATCGTTGGATTTCAAACAAGAATTTAGCTTAAGGGAAGAAGAGACATTTTCCACAGACAGGCCTGGAGCAGCAGGACGGATATTCTCCAGTACATTGTATCTCTGAATGGAACAGTTTGAGACGAGACTCTAAACCCTAACCCAATGGACAAGGAAACCTTGCAAAAAGCAGGGGGTCAGACACCTAATTTTGTCCCCTGCCGCCCATGAACTTTATGCTTAACAGTCTAACAGCTCAGTTACTGCAGAGATGGGAATGCTGTGTTTTGCTGCAACTCTGTTCATGTCCTAGCATTGACTTACACCCTTACAGTACACATCAGCTCAAGTGCCTTCTCTGCTGGCTGGAAGTAGCCCTAACTGTCACCTTTTTAGTTTTGATTAAAAAAAAAAACCAAAAAAACCCAAACAACCACAAACCAAACAAACAAAAAACCCCCACCCAAAACACCCTGGGAAATTATTCCTGTAAGTTGGGGTACAGACTGACTAAGGCATGTGCTGTTTTACCCAGGGACCTAGAACAGTGCATTTCCTTCAAAACTGACTTAAGGAACTTTTCCCTACAAAAGCTGAGACATTTTTGGACCATAGAGGATATTTCTGAGTCTTCCAATAACGTCTGATGTGTTTCACATTCTTGACAAACCAGTATTTTTTGTCAAGAGCTCAAACATGAGGATAACTGCAAGGAGGCAGGTGCCGGAAGGGATCTTTAGAACATCTCAGATTGCATCCCCTTGACTTGTCTCCCACAAGGAGGGCAGCAGCAGTGACGGCAATGCTGGAGCTCCCTACGGTAACTGAGATAAAGCACCAACTTTGTGCTCCAGCAGGTAACAGCCTGACCACTGCTTTCCCGTATCCTTTTGGCCTGCTTTCTGGGTCACAGCCCTTGGCCCACAGAAAACAAGCTGCAGCCAAAACTGTTGCTTTTGCAATGGAAATCAGAAAGCTGCCTCTAAGCACACAGAAGGGTTTGTATGGAGTATTTCCTTCTGGCCTAGCACTAAAACATGGGCTGCGTGTGCCCACTGGGTAAACGTAACACATATAGGGGCCCCTGGGAGACCGTTTTCTGGGTTTGTACATTCTGATATAGTTAAGATAAAAAGCAACCTCAAACTGCTCACCCTTTAAGTATCTGTAAATGCAAGCTATATTCTGCAAACATTCTGCAATGTGGGCATTTTGCAATCTAAATAAGTCTCAGATTGAGAAAGGGAACAAGGTGAATTCCCAGCTCAAGCACAATAATAGATACAGTCATACCTTGTTCTGGGAAGTAATAGCACCTTACCTAAGTTTACACTGGCAATAATTCACTTCAGGAGCTTTGCCATGCTGCTGTATGGAATATTTACTAGCCGTGTAGAACTGCAAACTTGGCCCCTCTTCAAGAAACAGATTGAATACACAGATGCTTATTTTAAATAAGATTTATTTCCCCATAGATTTTGATGATGAATTTAACAGTGAAATAATGTTTTGAGGCAGGTATGAAGCTTTTATGCATTTTTTGAAGGGGGGAAAACCAACCACCACTGGTTCTATTTAAAGTTGCTCCAGGCAAAGCCTCCTTTATTTGTCTCTGCTTTTCAAGGGTCCCCTCCACCGAGAGTCAGTCACCAAACCCAAAGATGAGCTGCAGCTCATCTGCTCCATCAGCGCAGGCTGGCTTAAACTGTCAGTGGTGTATGCTTAGCTGGCTGCCAAGAGCTGGTAGGGGCTGTAGCTTTACGATGTAACAACTGTAACTTCTAAACAGAAGACCATTTCATTTCACAGTCCCTTCACCTTACTCATATGAGATGAAAACACACATATTAAGAATAGGAAACAGCGATTTTCCAACTCTTCTTCAGAGAGTAAAGTCTTACTCTTTATTGACAGCCAAGTTAGCTGAAATCATCAACACAAGCTTACTTTAGACACCAAATTTGAACAAACACTTCCCATTATGTTAGCCATATGACTGTCTGACACAAAATTTAAAAAAAAAAAAAAAAATCACTCCGAATGGAAAGTTATGATTTATTGTAAAAAAAAAAAAAAGTTCCAACCCTCACTCAGAGTTAACCAAGTGTAAAAACGCCACTGAAGTAAGAAAGAGACTGCTGTGTACATGAAATACACAGAACAAATAAAGTGGAACCATTACATACAGACATAAGCCAGGTACATTCTTGGAAAGACAGTAAACTTCCTCTAAGAAGGGCAACACAAGTACTCAGCTAAAGCTGTACAACACTCACACACAGTATGAAACGGAGTTAGTTAAGCTCAACAGCCACTGAGGTAATAGCATGGTCATTTGGCAGGTAAGAGAACTGGCATCAGCACCGCCTGATTTGTGTAACCTCACCACACACTGCAGGTGCCTGGCTCCTGTTCCAAGTCTTCCTGTAAGAGCATGGGGTGTTTCTGATAGAAAGATCTGTGCTTTTCCCAATGTCAAAATCTGAACACCAAAAGATTTAACGTTTTCTTTTTTAGAAGTAGTTCTGTATTTGTTTTTCTACAAGCAACACAATTAACAGCTGAAAGCCTGCCACTAATTGTCTCCCTTTAATTTAATTTCCTCTAGTGAAGTAACCAACCATCCACAATAAAGTCTTTCTTGCAATTGAGATTAAATAGTCAGACTGCACCTCTCAGTAATACAACTTTCAGACTTCTAAGTCCTATTTTGATGAAAATAAAAGCATTATTTTTCACCAAGTGCTGCAAGTCTACATAAAAAGATGCTTTATAAAGTAAAGTAATTTAACGTTATTAAAATTTGTCATTTTTTTGTGAAGTTCCAGTTCATGCATTAATTTTTTGTTTAAATGACATTTACGAAAATAAAATATTGGCCAGATGCTGTGGCCTTCTGCTGAAAATGTGAGAGTCTGACAGCGAAGAGGGCCAAACCTAGAAGCCTAAAAAGAAACTTGTTCAGAGATGTATTAAGTGCAGAAAGAGTGCTGGTACAAAACACAGTTTTGTAAGTGACAAATAAAATCCAAGTGATTTTATGAATCTTCATCTTCTAGCAGATATTTAAAACCACTTCCTTTTTCACAGCATCCATCTAAAAATACTTATCTAAACCTTCAGCTTTTAAAAGATTATTAAAACAACACATGTGGTCCTCTCACTTTCCAAAATGTCAACGTTCATTGTGGAATTACCAAAGTTTACCTGGACTTCAGCAAAGCCTTTGACAGACATTGTTTCCCACAGTATTCTCCTGGAAAAATTGGCTGCTCATGGCTTGGACAGGCACACGCTTCACTGGGAAAAAAACTGGCTGGATCGCTGGGCCCAAAGAGTTGTGGTGAATGGAGTTAAAACCAGCTGGTGGCCGGTCACAAGTGCTGTTCCCCGGGGCTCAGTATTGGGGCCAGTTCTGCTTAATATCTTTATCAACAACCTGGATGAGGGGATCGAGTGCACCCT